CGAGTCTCGGGCAGCGGCGGCCGATGAGGCGGGCTCGGCGCTGCGTGGGCTACTGGCGGGACGGCCGCGCTCCATAGCGGCTCTGGCTCTGGTTCCCGCGGCGAGCACTGCAAGGGAGCGGGGCAGCCGTGAGACCTGGCATCGCAGGATCGCCCTCCAGTCCCCAGTGCGGCTGTGAAGGCGCCCAGGGCTCAGCCTCCCGTCCCCGCAGACACATCCCTTCCACCCGCTCACCAGGGAAATGGTGCTGCGGGACTCCCACCTCACCTCGAACTTGCCTCTGCACCTTTCCCCGCAACGGCAGTGCGGGGCTCCGCTGAGCAGTGCTAGGAGACCAGGGACGTCGAGCAGGTCACTCCATCCCCGTCCAGCCTCTGCTGCCGCCTTTTATGCGGGTGCCCAAAGCCAGCAAGTGGGAGACTCGCACAGGCACGTCGGGCCGAGACGCGCGCCCACCCGAGCCCCTAGGCTAGAGGCGACAGTGTCGCGGAGCCGCCCCCTCGGCGGACAGACTCATCAATCAAACCGCTCGGGGGTGGGACGGACACCTGGCCCCGCCCCTCCGACCGGGAAGCGCGGAGCCCGGTCGCGGAGGGCGGACTCGGGCGGGACCCCTCGGTCCAGTTCAGCTTGACTTTCACCTCGAGGAGCATCTCCACCCGCTGTTTACGCAGTAGAACCCTTCCTCGGGACACCGTGACCCAGACACCCCGCCATCGCCCCCTTGCTGTCTTCGCACCTGCGCTCACCGACTCAGACCGACCTGGGAGAAACCCCGGTTCCGGCGTCTGCGGGTCCCAGCTCTGCAGCCCGCACCGGCCTTTGCGGGGAAGGGGACCCGGTCCCAGCCGCGGCACAGTCAGACAGGCTCTAAGCCGGGGGCTCAGAGTATCAGCTATAGATTGTCACAGAGGACGCTGCTCACTTACAGATTCTTGAACATTTTACAGCAGATTTCTGACTTTTCACGTCGGGATTACCAAACTGCACTGCTTACACTGCGATGAACCAGCCGTGTTGAACTGGTTCGTGAACCAGGGTGATTCTTAGGCAGTAGTAGGCTTTACGCTTTAGAAAGCACGCCCAGTTCCCTTGATTCAAGGACTCGTATGAAATAAGAAACTACATTGTATTTCCTGGTAAATTTTATTTAACAACTAATAAAGTAAATAGATCCCGGAATTCACACACGGAAAGTCTCAGATTCAATAAAGAAACAAATCAAACGAGAAGGTATACACCGAGATAACCGCTCTACAAACCCTCACGCCACGCTGTTGCCTAGTTCTAGGAAGAAATCAAATCACGCCAGGCGGAACTGACTCCTTTTCCTCACACAAATGTTCCTTTACTTTTGGGTTTCGGAGGTGAGGTTCGTGGATATCGTTTTTTGTTTCCAAGCTTTCAGATTCCTTCAAGGACATATTCCTGTATTTTCAAACAAAAACAATACGCGCCAGCATTTAATTGACTTGATATGGAAAAAAAAAAAGACGACAGACATAGAACCCAGGACACACTAACCGTTGGTAAAGGTTCATAGCTACTCAGGCTTTAAAAGAAAGCAGAATCAGAACATTTCCTGCTTTGAGAACTACATGGAAATAAGGAGGCCGGTTGTGACCACGCAGAGGTGCCGGAAGCTCCCTTACTTTTGTCTTACATCTCAAGGTCTCGGTCTAGCCTAGCTTGTTGCTTTCCTGCTGCCCGTGTGCCCTAGACAGCAGTGGGGCAAAGGGCTGATGTCGCAGACCAAACCACCGAGCCTCTCCATTTTGTCCCATCTGCGCTACTGTAGGCAGTCCAGATTCCCGAGAGAAGCTAGTATTTTCAGTCGCTTTAAATATAGGCAAGCCTAAATCTCCACTATCACGTGACAAGTAAGCAATGGGAGTCAAATGGCACTTTTCATTTATTGAGTACTCTTTAGGTATCTTCTCATTTCGCCTTCACAAAAACTGAGGATTTTATAGTTTGGAGGATAAGCGTTCTCAGGGATTGGGCAACATGTCCAGTAGCATACCTAGTAGATGGCTAAGGTGTGGGTCAAACCAAGTAGATTGTCTTTGCCATACTATTGAGTGTTTGCACGTTGCAAAACAGTTTGGTGTCTATTATTAAGATGCATATTTTAGATTGATTGGCACCTTATTAGCAGTCCAAATATATGTTCATAGTATATTTTTCTCTGAAGTTCTCAGTTGTATAGTTTTCCAAAAGTATGACTTTAGAATGCTGTAGATCTTATTCATTGAGTGTGGTGTAAGTCTTAGAATTATTTTTAAGTCTTTTAAATATGCCAAGTTGTAAGGTTAAGATTGTCTTTATAAAATATCAAATGGAAAAAAGAAAGCATATTTAACAAGTAGTACTAGCATAACTGGATATCAACATGTAGAAGAATGAAAATAGACCCATATCTATCACCATGCACAAAACTCAAGTCCAAATGGATCAAAGACGTTAACATAAAACCAGCCACACTGAACCTTATAGAAGAGAAAGTGGGAAGTACACTTGAATGCATTGACACAGGGAACCACTTCCTAAATATAACCCCAGCAGCACAGACATTGAGAGAAACAATGGGACCTCCTGAAACTGAAAAGCTTCTGTAGAGCAAAGGACACGGTCAACAAGACAAAACAATAGCCTATAGATAGGAAAAGATCATCACTAACCCCGCATCAGACTGAGGTCTGAGCTCAAAAATATATAAAGAACTCAAGAAATTGTACACCAAAAAAACACATAATTCAATTTAAAAAATGGAGTACAGACCTAAACAGAGAACTCTCAACAGAGGAATCTAAAATGCCTGAAAGACACTTAAGAAAATGTTCAACATCCTTAGTCATCAGAGAAATGCAAATCAAAACAACTCTGAGATTCCATTTTACACCTGAAAGAATGGCCAAGATCAAAAACACTGATGACAACTTATGCTGGAGAGGTTGTGGGGTAAAGGGAACACTCCCGCATTGCTGGTGGGAATGCAAGCTGGTACAGCCCCTTTGGATGTCAGTGTAGCAATTTCTCAGAAAATTAGGAAACAACCTTCCTCAAGACCCACTTTTTGTTATATATCCAAAGAATGCTCAATCGTGCCACAAGGGCATGTGCTCAACTATGTTCAGAGCAGCTTTGTTTGTCATAGCCAGAACCTGGAAACAACCTAAATGCCCCTTGACCAAAGAATGGATAAGAAAAATGTGGTAGGGGGCTGGAGAGATGGCTCAAAGGTTAAGAGCACTGACTGCTCTTCCAGAGGTCCTGAGTTCAATTCCCAGCAACCACATGGTAGCTCATAGCCATCTATAACGAGATCTGGTGCCCTCTTCAGGCATGCAAGCATACATGGAAGGAATGTTGTATACATAATAAATAAATAAATCTTTAAAAAAAAAAGAAAAATGTGGTACATTTACACAATGGAGTACTACTCAGCGGTAAAAAAAATAACGACATCTTGTATTTTTCAGAAAAATGGATGGAGCTAGAAAACATTATTTTGAATGAGGTAACCCAGACACAGAAAGGCAATTATCACATGTACTCACTCATAGGTAGTTTTTAAACATAAAGCAAAGAAAGCCAGCCTACAAATCACAATCCCAGAGAACTCAAGACAACAATGAGGACACTAAGAGAGACTCACATAGATCTAATCTACATGGGAAGTAGAAAGTAGAAATAGACAAGATCTCCTGAGTAAATTGGGAGCATGGGGACCTTGGGGGAGGGTTAAGGGGGAGGGGAGAGGCAGGGAGGGGAGCAGAGAAAAATGTAGAGCTCAATAAATATAAAAAAGTGTCTTTATAATAAAAGCTAAAAAAGCAAATATCACATAGTAGAGAATAAAATGTTTAAAAATTGTGTACTATATATATATATATTTTATATCTATTAAATAAGTTGGTTCCAACTATTTCCCTCATTGTTTAAGGAATAACTTTTAGCTTGTCTGGTGGCTTAATCCCAGCACCCAGGAGGCAGGCAGGCAGGCAGATCTGTGAATTTGAGACCAGCCTGATCTACATTTCAAGTTCCAGGACAGTCAGAGCGTTACAGAGGTCCTTTGAGTGTATAGTTCAGCAAGTCTGGGGAGATGTATACAGTACTGTAACTGCCATCAGAATAAGGACACAGGACACCCAATATCTGCAGCAATTCCCTTTCCTTAGTCAACACTCTCTCCCGTTAGTTCCTGGCAAGCCCTGATCCATTTTCTGTCATCATGGATCCCCTTCTGCCAGAATATCACACAAATAAAAGCATATAGTAGGTCTCTTTTAAAGTCTAGCTACTCTCACTTACCAACATATTTGAAACCCATTCATGTTGAGTGGTTCACTCTCTCTCATTGCCGAGTAGAATTCTTAGTAGGTGTTTTATGTGTGTGTGTGTACATACATATATACATACATATAGATACATTTGTCTTAAATATTTGATGATTACAAATAGACCATTCTAAACACCCAGGTAGAGGTTCTCTTGAGTGTAGATTTTCATTTCACTAGGAAAATCTCTTGGACTGTATATTTAACTTTACAATGCAGCAAACAATTGTGCTGAGGACCTCCTGATTTTGCATTCCCATTTTTAATGTATAAGTTCTAGCAGTTCCATATCTAATCAGTATTTAGAGACTATTTTTATTTCTTTTTATTTATATGTTCATTTTTCGAGACCGTTTTTCTGTAACAGTCTCAGGTGTTCTGGAACTCACTTTGTAGACCAGGCTGGCCTCGAACTCAGAGATCCACCTGCCTCTGCCTCCCAAATGCTGGGATTAAAGGCGTGCACCACCACCTGGCCTGTTTTAATTTCTTATCCATTCTGATATGTTATTTTTCTTTGTGTGTGTGAGGCAGGGTGTGTGTTGATGTTTGGTGTCTCAGACAAGGTTTCTCACTGAGCCTCGACTCGACGTCATCGATTGGGCTAGTCAACCTAGCAGGCTCCACCCCTCGCGCCCCCTAGCGGTGTAGTGCTGGGGAGCAGGCCTGTGCTGCTGTATCTGGACTTCCTGTGGGTCCTGGAGATCTGCTCTCCGACCCTCCTGCTGGTGCGGTATGCACTTTGCTGACTGAGCCGTCCTGTCTCTCCACTCGCTCTAATGTGTTATTGCAAATACAAAGACTGAGCCAATATTTACTTAAATCAAATGACTTTACAACCTAGAGCTCTTGCTTGTCAGACATTCTCATTTCACAAGTCCGTGCATCCCTGCCCCAATTGCTCTTGCCCTGAGTGACTGCAGGTGCCTTTAACTGTACAGAGAGGCGCTTGTCCATTCCTCTGAGTCACCTCCTCACCTGCCTTTCTGTTCCTTCCTGGACCCGGGACTATCAACAGAGTCCTTGAGAGCTTGGCTATTTGAGTCAGAATATTCTTTTATTAAGAGTTCTAGTATTTAAAAATTGTTTGAGTAATGAAAATTTAGATTTCAAAATAGAAGCCTTTTTAAATGGTAAGGAAGAGTTATGTTAAATTAGGTTTCTTTCTTTTTTGTTTTTTTTTGTTTGTTTGTTTGTTTTGTTTTTTGTTTTTCGAGACAGGGTTTCTCTGCAGTTTTGGAGCCTGTCCTGGAACTAACTCTTGTAGCCCAGGCTGGCCTCAAACTCACAGAGATCCACCTGCCTCAGCCTTCCGAGTGCTGGGATTAAAGACATGCGCCACCAATGCCCGGTTTAAATTAGGTTTCTATAACTTGTTTATAGAGTAAGCTATTGGCAGTGCTGAAGCCAGAATTCCCAAACGCTATCTTTGTCTGTGTAAACAGAAAATCTTTTGTTGCTTCCTCCCCAGTGCTCCTGGGGGTATCCTGCTCTCGAGAGAATTCCTTGAGAAATGAAAATCAAATGTTAACAGTCTATCTCCACTACAGGACACACAATGTTTGTTTGGCACATAAAGTTAAATATACTGAAGGAAAGATGAACAAGACTAAAGGCATTTGGACTTTGTGGACGTGTTTAGGTGAAAGCATCCTGGAGTTTTCGGACTTAAAATATTACTGCAGTTCTTAAAACTCTCTCTGAAGTACATAGATCTGTCATTACAGCTGCTCAAAAATACCCTTCCCAGCCATGGACGCCAGACAGTTTAACTATTAGAATCCACTTTCAATTCAAAGACTCTTAAATATCTTAACTGGGTATTTCATAAATAGTTAATCAAAACAGAGGGGGCATATTCCTGTGAATTATGAGTCCCTGGGATGTGTGTCCCTTAAAGATGTCTAAAACCTAGCATAGCGTAACCTACCTGAAAAGGTATTTCTACATTAGTAAAATGCATGGGTCTACGGTTATCAGCATAGTAACCGTTTGCCTTCTTCATGGTATAGTGCTGTACAGTGTTCTCGGTGGAGCTTAGGAACAACATACATGGATTTAATGTCTATTTTTAAATCACCAGAGTTCAAGCTCCCGCTCGCATATTTGAAAAGGGAGGAAACATCTGTCAGAAGTGCTTACCGTGACAAATACAGAGGAAAGCAATAATGTATACCGCTCTCGTTTATTTAAAACCATACATTATTTTTAATTGAACAGTAAAGGTATTTGTTTAGAATCGGCCTTTAAATAAAGAATAGTTTAGACCTAATCTTTAATTAAAGTGCACTTTGATAGCATCAAGTTCAGTTTGAGGGTCACAAACAACGTCAATATGTCTGCCTTCTCTCTCCCTGCAGGGAAAGCAGGCTTGTGTAAATATACACACGTAGACGGCGTGCATTTACAAGAGACAGGGAAAACATTCCCGTCTTCAGACACATGTTGCTTCGCCGTGCTCCCCTTTGCATACAGGCGCAACTCCCAGGGTGCAGAGCCCTCGTGGAGTGGGCAGCAGACTGTTGCTTTTGGAGCCTGTACTGTTCTCTACCTCTCCGCAGGCGCCTTACCTGAAGCGTTAAATATAGCTTGTAAAAATATATTAGGGATGCCGGCTCGTTCTCACCTTTAAAATAGTTAAAGGAAAGCGTTGCTTGGATAGATTTTCTTAGAAACTGAAAATCTAATCTTTGTGTTTGTGTTCAGATGGATTTGTTTGCTTTGTGTGTGTGTGTGTGTGTGTGTGTGTGTGTGTGCGCGCGCGCGTGCGAGTGAGCTCGCACTAGGTAAACACATCATACTAGGTAAATATGCTCTACCATTGAGCCAATACTCCCAGCCAAATTATTATTTTCCAGGGAAGATGGTTTTAGAAATTTTTTTGCATTCTTTCTTTTCTTTTTAATGATTTATTTATTTTTATTTTATGTGCATTGATGTTTTGCGTACACATATGTCTTGCAAGGGTGTCAGATCCCCTGGAACTGGAGTCACAGAGAGTTGTAAGCTGCCATGTGAGTGCTGGGAATCGAACCTGGGTCCTTTGGAAGGAGACAATGCTCTTAGCCGCTGAGCCATCTCTCCAGTCCCTCCAGGTCAAATGATTAACATTTTGTTTTTAGAACTTCACCAGTCTTCCAACTTTAACCTCACTGTCCTTTAGGGGTTTTTGTTTGTTTGTTTGTTTTTGACATTAACTTACTAAAGGGTGCATGGCTGCACTCATAGATGAAAGAGCTGGGCCCTGCATTCACCTTCTGCCTTGTCTGTGTGGTATAGCTCAATTAAAATGAAACTACATATATGAATCAGATGTGGAAACGAAAATGGAAACCAGGTCATGTGGGCAAATAAAATGGTTCCCTCCCCAAATTACTACAATTCGAGCAACACGCATGCCTAAAAAAATCTTTTATGAAGCACTTTGAGGAAGTTTCATGATACAGTTGGTTACCTTTTATTAAAGAGAGACGTAACTAATATTACCATCCGATCAGACTTAAATCTTTGGAGCCACCGAAACAGTCTGTGGCGTGTTTTCAGAGGAAAGGCTTCCTGAGGAAATGGGAAACATCTAAACGGGAGCATTGGCGTAACATTTGTCACACCGCATAAAACTGAAAATTCAACTGGACATGATCAGTTTCACAGGGTGGCTGGAGCTCCCACAGGGCCCTTGTTCCGCGTTTAGGACAGTTTGTCTTCGCAGGGGAGAGGGAGCTGTCAGATGAAAGAACGCCTTTAGCTCTGAGGTCCTGGTTAGAAGAACGAGAGACCGCCACTTGCTGCTTCCTTAGTCTACTCCTAATGATTAGTCTACTCCTAATGATGCGGCATGGATAAAGAACGGGTGTTGTGTGCCGAAGCTCACTACAATTACTCCATGGTAATGTATAAAATGCACCGCCATTGTTTCTTGAGGCTGTGTAAATCATCCCTGTTTGTTGTTTTATCCACCGTGCGGCATAGCGCCTGTCGCGGGATGTTTGTGCACTGTGTGAAGATGTGCTGCTGTGACTGGTTTAATAAAGAGCTGGACGGCCAATGGCTAGGCAGGAGGTAAAGGTGGGACTTCTGGGCAGAGACACAGGAAGAGGAGGTGAATCTAGGCGCACAGGAGTCACCAGTCAGGGTAGAGAAGGCAGGATGGGCAGTATGGAGGTACAGAGAGATGAGGTATCAAGCCACCAAACTGATCGCAGATTAAAAATATGATTTAATTTAGGTTACAAGAACTAGTTAGGAACAAACCTAAGCTAAGGCCTAGCTTTCATAATTAATAAGTCTCCATGTCATTATTTGGGAGCTGGCAGGCGGGACAGAAAAAGACTCGTTACAACTAACAGTACTTATGGAGGCCTTGGCAAAACAAAATCTAGAAGGCGAGCTGTGGAGTTTACACAGGCGTTGTCTTCTTTAAGAGATCAAAGGGTGGGGCTGGAGAGATGGCTCAGAGGTTAAGAGCACTGGCTGCTCTTCCAGAGGTCCTGAGTTCAATTCCCAGCAACCACATGGTGGCTCATAACCATCTGTAATGAGGTCTGGTGCCTTTTTGCAGGCAGAATATTGTATATATAATAAATAAATAAATCTAAGAGAGAGAGAGAGAGAGAGAGAGAGAGAGAGAGAGACCTGCACCTGTCTGCAGGAGTCCTGAGCTGCTGGGGGAGGCATAGGACAGGGAGAGCCCCAGGACTGCTCACAGGGCTTCATCTGGTGAGCTTGGCTAGAGATTGTCACCACTGACAGACGGGACCCTGAAAGGAGCATCACATGACAGACTCACCTGCCCTTCAGGGGGCGGCAGTTCTGGGAAGAAGAAAACACCCCAGAGTACCTCCACCCACTCTGAGACTTTCTCGGTGGACTATATATTGCACTTCATATAGTGTGCCGAGCACCCCTGTGTGATTGGGGGGGGAGCAAAACAAACACGGGGTTGTCTAGAAGAGCAAAGGGAGGGCTGTGCTGTGGCTCAATGGTAGACGCTTGTCTTCTGTGACTGAGGCCTTCGGCTCATCCCAAGATGGGAGGGAGAAAAATAAACGGAGAAAAAAAGTTGAAATAAAATTTATAGACTTTTAAAATATTATAGGGTTTGGGATTTAGCTCAGTGGTAAAGCATTTGCCTAGTAAGCACAAGGCCCTGGGTTTGGTACTCAGCTCTGGAAGGAGGATTAAAGAAAGACAAAATAACAACAAAAATTATCAAAATATAGATTGTGTTAGTCTCTATCTGGCTAACAATGCCCATAGCACTGCCAGCACACACAACTGTGGCAGACCTGGCTCCCCATCTGGCTTGCAAAATACTTGAGATTCGGACTGTCTAATTTGATTTTATTTTTTAAAGACAGGATCTTTTTTTGGCTCAGGCTGGTCTTGAACTTGTGTAGCTGATGACAACTTGAACACGTAATCATCCTGTTTCAGCCTCTGGTGTTCTGGGACTGCAGCCATGCCTGCTTCTTGTTTGAACTGTGTATGTTGTATTGTTTAATGTATGGAAAGTATATATCTTAGAATAAATCAAGTTATTTCCCAGAATGGGAACAATGTCATCTTTTTTTTGTAAAACCCAAACAGCTGTTTTCTCATTAGGAGGTTCATAACAGACTTATTCAGAACTGAACGGAGTATAGAATCAAAGCTTGGAGCACAGACTCAAACTTTTTCTCATGAACCCCTTAGGGTGAACGAAACTTCTAGTGTCTTCAGAGAGAGCAGGTTCAGAACTTGTGGCTTGGAGCAGAGGAAAGCATTCTATCTACTCCTTTGGGCTCCTCTTTCTACCCACACCTGCCACACCCTCTTCCTTCCATACCCCATCCACCGGAGCCGTCATCACCTGGGACCTCCCCTTCCCTGAGAAGAGCCTTTCCCCCTGATCATTCAGACATCTTTAGCCACATCTTCAGGGACTTTCCTGCCCCTGCCTTTACCTCACAGTGTGCATCAAGTCAACTCCCAACCATTCCAGAACCATCCCCGACCTGTGCAGTTGGATGATGACCAACACTGAAGTTGTGCCTGAGAACAGATGGCCAGGAGGACCCCTCTACATGACTACCCCATTCCCCTGGAAAAAGAAAGACCAAACATTTGACAGAACCTACCCCATGTCTTCAGTAATTTTAGTTTTATCTTCTTGGAAACATTCTGAAGATGGATTTCCACTTGCTAAGTATCTCTGTGCGTCAGAGAAAAAGATTACCTTTGGTTTACCCACCTGTGGGTAATAAACAGGAACTATGTGATGGATTTTTTCAAAGTTACCTGTAGCATACAAAGAATTAAAAGTATCCTTCTTTGAAACTAATTACTAGATTATCAAATGACATATATTAGTATCTTAAATTATATGTTATGGAATGAAATTAAACAAAGACAAACCCACATTAAATCATTAACAAATTAATAATCAAAATAAAATACAGACTTTTATCTAGAAAAACCATACAGGAAAGTCCAAAGTTCTTATAAAGAAAATGGACATGCTAGCATTAATATAAACATCCACTGACTTAAATTTATTCTCAAAGTAACCTTTAGAGCATGGATCGGTCATATTGATGGGACACGCCTATACCTTTACTTGAGTAATTATCATTCCATATCACATACAGTTCCCAGCGTGATGTCCCTTCTAGTGGGGACTGCCTTGTTTACCTCAACTTCCGACTGCCAGGGTCTACACTGGGCAGATCACAGATGCCTCTAACTCCCGTTCCCAAGAACCTTCACTCTTGCGGCTTTCATGAGCACCTGCACACATGTGTGTGCACACACACAGACATTAAAAAAAGCAATGGCTAGAGGACTAGAGAAGCACACAACTGTGAGCGCTTACAGGGACAATTAGACGCCCAGGCCTCCTAATGCGGAGTGAATCTGTGATCTGACAGCATTTTGGGGAGATGGTTACAAAGTAGGAAGCAAAGCTTGACAGGAGGAAGTCACTGGGGACATGTCCTTAGTGACTCTAACTTGCCCTGATTTCTTTGTTTCCTTTTCTCTGCCTCCTGTCTACCAAGAAGTGAAGAGCCACATCCAAAGTCCACTCTACTGCCACAGTGCTTTGTCTGCACTCAAGGCTGGGGCAGACGTGGGCTCAAATAACCCTCTGACACTATGAGCTAAAATAAATCCTTCCCCTTTGTGCCTAAACTCACAACGAAGAAAGTAACTTTTGTTGTGTTTGAGACAAGGTTTCATGTACCTGAGGCTGGTCCTGAACTTCTGATACTCTTATCTTCCCTCCTAAGTGCTGTGATTACCAGCGTGTACTGCCATGCCTGGATTTTTTTTTAAATTTATTATTTTGTGTGTGTGTGTGTGTGTGTGTGTTTTACCTGCATGTGTATATGTGTACCATGTTCATGCCTGGAGAAGAGACATGCTCTTTGCTAGTGAGCCATCTCTCCAGTCACCCCCACACACACTCACATATACACACATTTTTTTTTTTTTTAAATAACAGCCGTTCCGTTCTGGCTGATGTGAAGACTCATCGTCATGACTACTGAGTCAATATCTCTTCATGGACCGCTAACTTATGCTGGCCATTTTTAATGTCTCTTCAGAAATGCCCACTCAAGTCCTTAGTTTATTTTGAAATCAGGTTATTAATATTTCTTTGCTGTTTAGTTGTAGGAGTTTCTTATTATTTTGGAGATTAACTTCTGTCTGATACATGCTTGGAAGCATTTCTTCCATCTCATAGGTTTCAACTTTCTTATTTCCCTTCTTGTATAGGAGCTGCTCAGTTTGATCTAATCTGTCCTAATTATTTCTGTTTTTCTGTCTGTGTCTTCAGTGTTACAACCATGATGTCATTGCCACAATGAATTCCATGGAGTTTACCCTCTATGTTTTCTTCTAAAAGCTTTATGGTCTCGTGTATTTTCAGTTTTAGCCCTCTTTAAGTTGATCTTGAGTATGAAGGTACAATCTCCTTCCTTTTGAATGTTGTTATGTAATATCTCCAAACCTGTTGAAGCTATTGTCCTTTTTTCATTGTGTATTTTTGCCACGTTTGTCAAAATAACTCATGCATATTTGTGGGTTCATTTGTGCAGTTTGTGCTGTGTTGTCGATTGCTCCAGGTTTGTCTTCTCTTGGTTTCACACTGTTTTGATTACTAAATTTTATAATATATTCGAAATCAGAAGCTATGGTGCCTCTAGCTTTCGTCTTCCTCAAGATTGATTTGGTTATTTGTGATCTTTGTGGCTCCATATGAATTTAGAAAGTTTTTCTTATTTTTGTAAAAGCTGCCATTGTGATCTTGACAGGGGTTGCATTAAATCTGTAGGTCATGTTGGGTCGGACAGATATAACTTTTAAGTCTTTTGTTTCACAAACATGGAATGGCTTTCATTTGTGTCCTGTTTAGTTTCTTTTATCATTGTTTTCCAATGTTCAGAATACAGGTATTTTACCTTCCCAGGTGGTCTCATCTCTGAGTACCTGACTCTTTGGGGCAGTTTTCTAACCTCTGCTTTAGATATTTTATTGTGGGTGTTTTCATATAACTTTAAAGAGTGTGTTGTTAATTAGTTCTAGACACACTAATTATAAAGAGATTACTTAGGGTTCCTTTGAGAAAATTACATGATTAATTTCAAAGGTTGTAGGCTTTAAGGCACATTATAATTTCTATTATTTCACCAAATTTCATTGAAGAAGTTAAAATTCACTTAGTTGTCTGTATTACAAAAAATATTTGAAATCTGTGAAGACAAAATGAATATTATTTTTTAGTATAGACCTAGTTTTGGGGTGAAGGCTGATGTTTAATCCTGTGGGTACTTCAATATTAATAATGTGTTTTGATGTAATACTGAAAGCCATAAAATGCTGAAGAGTGTGTGTGTGTGTGTGTGTGTGTGTGTGTGTGTGTGTGTGTGTATGTGCCTGTGCTAGAGGGGCAGACACCATGCTCTCCATGGCAATGTCGTGCCCCGGTGTCCCCTCCCTGGGCCTAACAACCCCCGCCCCCCCGGATTCTTCTGTTCTTTTCATCCAAAGCTGCCAAGAAGAGTGAGTTGTGGGCAAAGGCTGAGATTCAGGCTGTTGTGTGCGGAAGAGGCTTCCCACTGCAGACTCTGTGGGGTCAAGTCTAGTGGGCATCTAACGCAGCAGGGCAACTGCTACATTAGTCTATATCTAGCTGCATGAACTAGGCAAAGGCTAGTGTGTCCTTTCTAACATAGCCACAGCATAGTATAGCGTGTGTGCATAAGAGGACTGGCCACAAAGTATAGGTCAAATATGGTTAACATATTTAATTTTAATATTTATGTGTTTATCATTTTGATTTTTTTGAGAGGGACTCATTCTGTTGCCTAGACTGTCTTGGAATTCACTGTGTAACTCAGGCTGATCTTAAACTTATTGTGATCCTCCTGTCTCAGCTTCCTGAATGCTGGGATTATGGGTGTGAGCAACTACGTGTGACACATTTTAATTTTTTTATCCTAGTGACAAAAATTGATTATTTGCACTAATGTTAACTATATAGTGACTTGGGTTTCACAATTTATACCTCTACTGTTTTCTCACTCATGCAACTGACATTACACACTTCGCTGGAACAGAAGGTCGGTCTCCAGGAACTCATGATATGACCATGTATGTGGCTGACACAGGCACAGCCAATGTGAGCCTACAGCAGGGTTTGTTCCTACTGGTTACCATTTTCATTGCTGGCAAAAGTTCCTAGTAACTCTAGGTACTTCTGTTGACAACTAGGTAGCTGAATACACTTCCAATGTCTAAAAGCACCCCTGTAAAACCCTGAGCTCCACCTCCCTCCAGTTTCCCGTATTTTTAGACGGTCCCTCAGCTGGAGGTGGTGGGCGGCACTTACTTATGTAGGAGTCGCTTGGATCCTCAGTCTTACTGCTCCTTTTCTTGCTGACTTTCTTGGCATCTTTGGATGCTTTCCAATTCATTAGGAATTGTCTTTCCAGATTTTTTATTTCTTTTCCATCAAGAAATTCTGGAGAAGATATGAATGTTAAAAATACAGTACAGTCAGGTGGTAGTGGCACACACCTTTAGTTCCAGCACTTGGGAGGCAGAGACAGGCAGATTTCTGTGAGTTCAAGGCCAGCCTAGTCTACAGAGAGTTCTGGGATATCCTGGGCTACACAGAGAAACCGTCTTAAAAAAAAAACAAATGATATACAGTATGTATGTATAAATATTAAAATAAAAATATATACTTCTGGCTTATAGTACACATTACATCGTAAACTAAAAGTCCTTGTTAAAAAAATACCTTAGACATGCTAGCAAGCTAGCTAATCCTATCATTCCAAAAGTTGAGGCAGGAAGATTACCATGGGTTTGAGGACAGTCTGGCTAATATAATGAATTCTAGGCCAACCTGGGCTACAGAGTGAGAGCTTGTCTCAAACAACAACAACAACAACAGCAGTGCCAGGAACGGGTTACATCTTGATTTATTGCCAGAGAGGCACCATGGGAGCCCCCAAATATCACAGGCTGTTGGTTGCTCTCCGTCAACTGATGGTGGGCTCTTCTGCTGAAGACAACACTTGAAACCCACACGTACATCACCGAACATGAAACAGGTGAGCCAGTGCCTACCAGAGGAGAAATATAATCCTATCCCAGCTACAAACCCTCCAAGGGTTTTGGCCTCCAATGGTGACCTGCCCTCAAGATGCGCTGGTGCAACAGTGGCACAAGCGTTGTGGAAATAACCAACTACTCTCTGATGGTGACAAGGACCTGAAAACGGACAGGCAAAGAGCCTGGGGAAAACTAAATTCTGCTTAAGGACACAGCCATAAGATGACTCCTAAGGGCATTCTGCAGTATATGGGAACTAAGAGCAAGACCCACAGCTGGGCAGTGCACCAGTGAAAGTCGTCCCACTAGGGCTCAGAAGAGGAGGCAGAGGTGACGGGTGGCTCCAGACACGAGAACAGTGCACATGTGAGCGCACAGAGACCGTGGTAACATGCACAGGATGGGCATAGATCCAAGGCAAATGGGGTCCCATCACTGAGAGGTGGAAGTGGATATGCGCCCCCCCGAACACTACCAAGAAGCTATCTTCAACTAATACCTGCTGGGAAATGAAAAATCAGTGTTCCTCTCAATGAACCTCTCTGGGTATATTAACTGCTCTTCAGGGTAGGCCACGCCCAGGGCTACAAACACAAAACAAACTCAGTGGCATTTTTGTCTCATTTTATTTTGGGCTTTTTTTTTTTTTTTTTGGTCCTATTGATCTTTTGCTTGCTTATTTTAGTTTCCATTTTGTGTGGGTTTTTGTTGTTGTCATTATTGTTGTTGTTTGTTTATACTTTGTATGTGTGGGGAGGTAAGAACGGTCTAGTCCCGTCTAAGATCATATGCCTTCCCAGCACTGCCAGAGATGCCCACTGCAGACAGCATGGGTCTGGTACCTTCTAAGACCATATGCAAACTGTGTTGTTATAATAAAATGAAATCATGACTTTATAAAATTAATTATTGGTCTTAGAAAAAATAATATAAAAGCCAGGTATAATGCCACATATCTTTAATCTCAGCAGGAAGTAGAGGCAGGCCGATCTCTGGGTTCGAAGCTGGACCTACATAAAGAGTTGCATGACAGCCAGGGCTACACAGAAAGACACAATTTCAAAAAAAGAAAGAAGGGAGGAAGGAAGGAAGAAAGGAAGGAACAAAAGAAAGAAGAAAAGAAAGAAAACAAAAGAAAAAGGATATAAAAATTTAAACACATCTTATTTTTATAACATGATAAAGTATGTACAACCTTAACAATGCTTATTATTACAGCTAGGCTGTAGGCTGTAAATGAAATAACCCCCAGAGCTGGCTTGTTGGTTCTCAGAGGTCAGAATTCAGCTATCTTTACATTTTGCTCCTTTACAAGAGGTTTTAAAATTCACATTCTTCAATTAAAAAATTTTTATATACTGTAAGATATTTGGAAAAATACAAAATACCAAAAAATTAAAATTTATTCTGTAATGAGAAATAATCATTTGTACACAGATAGATACTACTTTAGAATAGTTCTTAGAAATATTTTGTTACTATGTATATTAATGTATTTATTATGTATTTATTTCTGTTTGTATTTGTGTATATAGATAAGTATAGTATACAAAATGGATATCTCTAAGGATAAAGCCTCACATGCTACTTTAAAAATATTTTACTGTAACCAGGAGTGGTGGTACACTCCTTTAATCCCAGCACTTGGGAGGCAGAGTCAGGTGAATGAGTTTGAGGCCAGCCTGGTCTACATAGTGAGTTCTGGGACAGCCAGCCAGGACTACATAGAGAGACCCTGTCACTAATTTATATTTAATATATTATACATGTATTTATATATTAATTAATTCATTATATATTACTCAACATATAATGTGTATATTAATCATTTTAGTATGTCTTTATTTAGAAACAATTTCTGATAGTGACAATTTATAGATGTTCTTTAGAATACTGAACAAATCCCTTACCTTATTTGACCTATATGACATTTTGTATCACATAAATAAAATAAAGTGGTTTATGTGGCCTTTAATTAACAAAGAGACTATCTTTTCTACCAGTGTATCTGCATGATTTGAAAACCGTCTTTCGTCATCTAATGTCTCCCACTGAGCCCAGAACGCAGTAAAGAAACAGTAAAATGTTTTCAGTCATGTTCTTTCAGGGACCCTGGGAAGCCTCTAATAAGGTGCTAATCCTACTGCTGAAAGTAATAATGCTACTACTTAAATACTTGGAATATTGGGTTGTATTTAAAGTATAAAATACATTGATAAAACTGAGACTATGGTAGTCTGTTTCTCATCCCTGAGTAAAGGACTCCAGCACCCCAGGAGGTCCCAGGAGCAGGGAGAGCCCAGTCCAGCAGCACCACGTGCTCCCTGAGATGAGTGAACACCAGCAGGACAACCGCAACACTGCGATGCCACGGAGGTGACGCAAACATGCGCGTTCTCCAAATATCTTAGTGCACACACAATGCATTTCCTGACTGCGTCCAGCTGTGGAAACCAGAGCCGCAGTCTCAGGAGGTATAATCGCATAATGTTTTCTGCACCTTTCTTAACTGAGGGACAACACTTTCCAAATGGTCATTTCGGGACTTATCTATAACTGCATTCAAGATCATTCTTTACGCTCAGTTTTCTCAACTGCTTGTCTTTACATATTTGCTTCTGTTGATAATTATATACCTTGCTAGTATATTTGGGTGAATGTATGTATGTATGTGTGTGTGTATGTATTTATGTATGTATGTATGTATAAACTGTCTTGAGTATTCTGATTACATGTCACTCTTAGCACATAATCTTGCTCTTACGTATAAAAGTGATTTGGGAAAGGAAGGCAAGTAACTAACTAGCATAGGTAGTGAGATTATTTCATTTTAATGATTTACTCCTAACATGGAACCGGCTTCCACTGTGTTGTGTAAACCAAACATATAGGATTTGTTGTGTTTGTTGAGGACTGGGTAAATTGTAAAACAGAAGATGGTTCCTCATAGTCTTTTGACTTTTATTATTATTGTTGTTGTTGTTATTTTTTAATTTGGTGAAAAGAAGATAAATGAGAATAATAAAGACAAAAATTATTTGTAATATGTGCATGTGTGTGTAGACTTGGAAGACATACACTGACGTCCTAACAACAGAGCTATGCTGAAAGCAGCAGTGACTTTTGTTTCTTCTCTCTATTTTTTCTCTGTATTGCTAGGGATAGATCTCAGGGCTTGGGCATACTGGGCAGGCCCTCTGCAGCTGAACTCTCTTAGCCCTGTGTTTTTAAGTATTAATTTTGTAGTTATGAAGTGTGTTATGAGAAGGGTTACATAAAACAAACTTTGAATCATTTTTGCTTTTAGAAACCAATAGACTTATCACCATGCCTTTTACAATCTTGTATATGGAAAAATGTTTTTGTTTTGTTTTGGTTTTTCAAGACACAGAGTTTCTCTGTATAGTACTGGCTGTTCTGGAACTCTCTCTGTAGATCAGGCTGGCCTTGAACTCAGAGATCCACCCTCCTCTGCCTCCAGAGTGCTGGGATTAAGGGTGTGCACCACCACTGCTGGAAAGATATGGTTTTAAAATGGGGGATTTTGTTTTTTATCTTTCTCTTCTCCCCCTCCTCTATCTCTCCTCCCTCCTTCCTTCCTGTCTGTCTGCCTGTCTTACAGAGCTAAAGACTAAGCCCAGGGCCTGGTGAGTCCTAGGCATGTAATTCTATCACTGAATCACACTGCAGCCCATATTGAAATTTTTATTTTTTTGAGTTGGGGGTTTCATGACCTGAAATTGGTGTGTAGATTAAGCTGTCCTTGAACTCACAATTCTCTTGCCTCTGCTTCCCAAGTGTGAGGATTAAAGGCGTGTGCCAATGCACCAGCTTTATATTGGAATATTCTTACTCATTAAACATTAATTGTATTCACGTCTTCCTCTGAGTAAAACAGACCGGAGCAGCTGTGTGTGGTATCTGCAGAGCAGAGCCATCTGTGGGACCTTTAAGACGTAACACCATTCACCTCTGTGTATTATTTGTTCCCTGCCTTTGTGGGCTGTGTATAGCTCCTGTATATATATATTCTGAAAAAAATATGTTTTTCACTATTTGATCTGATTTCCCCACACGAGAGAACCACCGAACTAGCATTATGATTAACTAGCTATGAGTTTTGAAGTCCTTTTGTCATATTTTAGTTTTTCATTAATTCTTATCCCCAGGGTTCTGCCCCAGGAAAGTCTCACAAGTCTCCTCTGTGACAGGGCACTGCCGGTCGCTCTGGTGCCATGCAGCTTTGGCTCCACCAAACAAGCGTTTTGGCCCATTTTCCCCAATAGAGGGTAGACTTAGGAATGTTATTATTTGTAAGGACTTTTTTAAAAAAGTAACTCCCTAGTCCTATTTCCGATGAAAGGACAAGTAATCAAACTGATCAGTTGGTTTATCTGCAGAGCCAAGCGCTAAGGAGCCAAAGGGCCTGCCAAAGATTTGTTCCAAGTAAAGTTTAGCTCATTTGTGGCTAACCAGTTATGTAGGCAGCGGCCACATCTTCTCCTAAAAGTGTGCCTGGTATTTATTTATGAACAGAAAAAAAGTTTTTTTGAAGCATTACTTCCTATTTTTACCTTTGCTATTATTCAAACATACACATTTAAGTTGACCAATTTCTGGAGCCAGCTGTTATATTTCTCTCTCTGAAGCTTTGATGATAAATTAACTTAAAAGTAAAACAAGTGCTTTTCTCTAAGAAAGCGGAATTAATGTAAAACACTACTCACCCAGGGACTTGGACATCAGTATCAGTTTGTCCCTGTATTTTGGTTTAAGACAAACGGGATTTCCATTTAGATCAATTTTCCACAGCTTCATCAGTTTTTTCAGTAAAAGCTCCAAATCCTGTAACCAGGGAAGAAAAAAGGAAGGCATGTAGTTTCCTGGTTACCAGCTCTTCTCGGGCCAACTGCTTTCTGAAGGCGGTAACTGGTTTTCCTAGATATGCGCGGCAGGATATGCGCGGCCACCGGTGGTGGGGTAGCTAAAGGGGAGGCCAGATGTGAGGTGCTAAGTTGGGGACCACAGCACTGCTCTTGATCATGGTGCCCTTAAATCGACCCAACCTGTAGCTAAGGAAACAGGTTTTCTCCGGCAGCTACCCTGCTCTCAGTGGAATGCAGTTTACACACGGAGCCAAGGGAAGAGCAGTGAGCGAACACGCCATTAGCGGGCCCGGGACACTCAGGGAGAACTATCTGGAAGCAGCAGGGAGCAGATGAGCTGCCGAGAAGAGGCTCAAACCAACTGGGCCACCGCAAAGGACCCTCTCCAGCCTCTTCTTCTGCCTGCAGGCTGTGCTCCAGGCTTCCAGCCTTCAGGAGCATCACCCACGCGGATTTTGACGATGCGGCCTCCTCTGAGTTTTTGCTGCTCCTGTAAACAACCTCTTACCCAGCTTCCTGTAAGTCACCCCAATAAAACTCATTGGTTCATCAAATTAAACAGCAGCACAGTCTGTCAGCATTGTAGGCAATATATATTGTTGCCTATTTTTTTTAAATGAAGAATGTGGGAAAATCCTGTCAAAATGTAAAACAGAAAAAAATGACTTGCCTGTTTATCACCCAAAGATCACATTGAACTCACAGTCATATGCCGTTCTAATCATCTGGGGACACAGGGATTTCTTTTGAAATTATGTTCTTACTGTGGTTACATTTTTCTTTTACTTTTTTGTTGTTGCTGCTGCTTTTTTGACAGGGTCTCACTATTTAGCCCTGACTGGCCTGGCACTTACTCTGTAGACCCGGGCAGCCTCAAACTCACAGAGATCCACCTGCCTCTGCCTCCGAGTGCTGGGATTAAAGGTGTGTGCCACCACATCCAATTTTGTTTTGCCTTTTGTGATAACCAGCTGCATGCTTTTATACCTTACCAGAGAAGGACTTGTTGACATTCAAGAAAAACTAAGTTAACCCACGGTGTACAAGTCACATAAAGGTGAAGGAGACAGGTGAGCGGCTCCTCAGAAGTCTGGAGGCCCCCTTCCCTCCCTTCTCACTATTGCACTGTTTCTCCCAGTGAGCGTCAAACCCTGCACCAAACCTCTACCTCCCTGCCATTTGTTCCCTTGCTTTCTCCTCTTCCTCTTTAAAAAAGAAAGGGGGGGGGGAGTGTTGGAGAGATGGCTCAGTGGTTAAGAGCATTGCCTGCTATTCCAAAGGTCCTGAGTTCAATTCCCGGCAACCACATGGTGGCTCACAACCATCTGTAATGATGTCTGTTGCCTTCTTCTGGCCTGCAGACATACACACAGACAGAATATTGTATACATAATAAAAAACAAAAGTTATTTTAACTACTATTTAATAAGAATAATATATACTTTGAATGCTGCTTATATATGCCCCAAAGATTTATTTTTAAAAAATGAAATAAAGGACATTAAATGCACCAAAAAAAGCATTGCACTTTGGTTGTCTCTATATTTTTATTAGTTTTGAAAAATGGCACAACAAACAAAAGAATGCAGATATATCTCCAAAATAGTAGGCACATATGTACCTCGAGAGTTTCGTCTGCGCTTGACTCTGAGGGATCAAAGCAAATAACTTGTGGAAACAGGAGGTCTCTTCAGAAGCAGCCTCTGCCTCTCAGGCTTTTGCTTCCTGGGCGCATGTCATGATTTTTTTTTTATTGCCATCATCATCATTTTTATTATTATTTAGTTTTTTGAGACAGCTTTCTCTGTGTAGTCCTGGAACTCTATCTATAGACCAGGCTGGCCTCAAACTCACAGAGATCCACCTGCCTCTGTCTCCCGAGTGTTGGAATTAAAGGTGCGCCACCAGGCCAGGCTTCCTGTCTTTATGACGTGGCTGCACTTAGAACTAATTGCCGTGGATATAAAGTGCCCAGAACAAAACAAGAAGTTCATAAATGTGCTCGTCTTCTGCCGTTCTGCCGGCTCTGCCGTTCTTCAGCTAAGCCTCTTTCTCTTAATTTTGACTATCAGCAAAATTTAAAGATGAAACTTTTGATTCATTGACCAACAAACAGTTATCTTCAAGTGAGAAAGCTGTCTTCAAAATTATAACCTCAGCCCTCATTCTTGAGCCTTAGGTTTTGCTCGGTCTGAAGCATTTGTTCCATGTTTAACAGAGCCAAGAGCTCTGAATTTCTCATACTCTAAGAGCCGCGAGGAAGGGACCGGGAGCTGGACGTTTCACACTGTTGAATATGATGCCCATAGCAAGAGAATTTTACACCCACGCAGATAAAGCCATGTTTGGAGTTTTGTTCATTATTCCTCGCTTGATAAATGACCCTGGACACACTCCCTCCAGTGTGTGTTTACTTAGGGCTAAGCTAATCCTGCTCTGAAATACGATTACCCTTCGGACACGCTCTGCTTGTTCATTGCCTTCCTGTCCTTAATAAAACGCTTTCAGTCTCCTGCCCTTCAATAAATTACTCAAGGAACCAGACACTTTTCTGGACAGTCTCTGTTTGATAAATGATCATGTCATGCTATCGCTTAGAGCGCTGCCGAGTCTGAGGCACCAATTCCCCTTCCCCTGCAGGCTGGCACCCCGCTCCTGCACGGGCGACTGTAGCAGGCTGTGCTCTCTGCTTTAATGATGACTCTGATGAACCTGTATTTGACCAGCACGCTCCAATCTTTATCGGAAACGTCTGGCCCAACTGTCCTTACCAAATCTAAAGACAGCCATTTGTCATCCCTCTGACTGCCTGTCATCATCTGCCTGAGGAAATCTATAATTTTGGGCTTGTTCCTGACTAAAGTGTGAAATGAATAAATTTATCTTTGGACCATGCCGCTTGCCAGGATCAATATTGAGCAGAGGTTGAATAAATTAGAAACGAAGAAAACATGACAGGCTATTGTGGCTGTTCACTTGTGCATTGTAAATCAAATGTTTAGTTTATAAAAGAGGCAAGCATGTCAAGTTTTTTATTTTTCCCATTCATTTATGAAGATTCCCTGTCTCATGATAAATGGTCATCAGAAAACCAATGAAGTAAATCACTAATGAATCTGGCTGTGAAAGGAACTCAGGTCGTTTTATTGATTTGGCAAATTTTGCAGATGTCAAAACTGTGGCAAAGATTAAGGGTTTTTGTTTTGTTTTGTTTTGTTTTTCTTACAAGTTTTGTTTTGTTCGCATTTTTGGCCATGCATTTGACATTGTATAACATTAGCAACTTGGATAACATGGGCCTAGTGAAGTTCATGACTCAACCTCACTCATACACAACTTGTAGAAATGTAAGTTGAGCTATAAATCATTAAAATAGTTGGTGCTTTTAGATATTGATGCATGCCTGTCTAAAGAGGTTACAAAAAAATGCAAAACAAAAAGTCATGAAATGTCATTTAAAGTAGAGCCCCATAGGTTAAAAGATGACTATTATTATTATTATTATTATTATTATTATTATTATTTGGCTTGAAACTTCTCTTTCCTCTCCTCCTCAATAGCTGACCTCAGTCCACACTTTAATGGGGGAGAAGTAGGTCAGGTCTCACCGACATTTTTCTCAGTTAACTGCTGTGATCTCACACTTCCTTTCCTGTTTTCATTTTCTCCGCAAACGAAGAGCACTATTTCTTCCCCCGCTAATCAGCCTTTTGATCCAGGCTGCCTCCTCTGGGGTCTTCTCTCTTACATTTTCATTTCCAGCCTCCCTTCTCTGACTGCTATCCTTTCTTTTATCTACAATCACCAGACCCATTGACTAGGGCTCTAGGCCTTCTCAAAGGCTTCCTGTGCACAGCAATCACGGGGGGGGGGGGGGGTGGCACACGAATAAAACATAATTTTAAATTTTAAAAAAGAACCACAAGGGACTTTGTTTAAATGCAGGTCCTGAGCACCGTGTCTGGTGAAGAAGTTATGACTGACTCCATGTGAAGCTGTAAGGGTTTAGACCAATTCCTTGGTTTCTCAACCACTGGGCACTCCACAGGCTGAAGAGGCCCTGCTAACCCTACCAGGGAATCAAATGTTATCGATCATGGAATTTGTAGGCCTCAGTTCTTTGGGCGTCATCATCTGTGGACCATTCGTTCACTTATCCCACGTCGTTCTGTGTTCCAGAAGGCTATGCACAGCCTGCAGGAGTCTGCGTCTCTCCAGGGAACCAGCCTCTGGCCACCGACATCTCAAATGCATGTGTGGACTGTTTTCTGTTTTCTAAGAGTCGACGGGCTACATGGCGACCTGCTGCCTGGGTCCATCCCTGGAGAGAACTCACCGAGCTGAGTCAGCAGAAGACGGTAGGCCATCAGCGACCATCAAGAACCCCTTCCTTTTCTAAACTTGGCATCTACTCCTTCCAAAGCAATGCCTGTTTTCACTCCCGGGCTCATGGAAGAGGGTGCGCTCACAGAAACAGCTGTCCTCCTGCCGTCCACCACATGTCCACCATACATAAACCTTCCAGCAAATAATCCCTCCTGCCATGTTTGCATCCATGATGGTGCTCTCGTAGATAACCACGATGCAGAAGAAGCCTCCATTCATCTGGCTCTGCACTGTACGTAGCCTCACACATAACTGATTACTTGGTGTTTTGCTGGAATGTTTCAAAGACACTCCAACTCTGGATGACCAAAATCCATGATCTCCGTGTACCCAAGCCTGACTCTAGAGTTCTCCGCAGCTCGTTTACCTCTGCTCAGTACATCCAGCTAGAAGCCCGTCTTGCCCACTTTATTCTCAAACATTTCTCCAGGTTTGTTCGCTCCATTTCCACCCCCATTGTTAACGTGTCAACTACTCACTTCTTAGCTGGTCTGGACTCTTCCAATCTGTTCTTCACACCCCAGTTAAGCAGAATCTTTTCAGAATGCTAACATCTAATTACTTCACACCTTCAGTGGCTCCCAGTGTTCTCAGAATAAACAAAAGTCTATTATAGCCAAGACAGCAGCCCGTCTGTCCACAGCGCCTCTCTGGAGTGAGTTCTGCCTTCACTCGCTCAGCCTCGCGTTCCCTTTAGGAAAAGTGCATGTTTGCTTTAGGGGGCCATTTCCTGGCCTGGAAATCTTCTCTAAGCTCACACTTCAGCTCTCCCTTCTCAGAAGGGCTGTGTCAGAAGGAAGTCTGACATCCTCGCCGACCACCCTCTTCCCCTCGTGGCATAGGAATTAAACGTGAGAGGTACAGCGGACCAGGCTTTGAAGTTCTTCCTTCAAGGGGTATACGTGGGACGAGGAGGAGAGGCGGTTTTGCTTCCTGTGCTTTCTCTTCCGCATCTTACCCACCCGCTATATTTATTCTTGCCTAGAAGTCCCTGAGCTGGACCAGCTCGGGAGAGATGAGGGCGGGCTGAGAGCAGAAGGACTCCCTGACAGCTGTAGGTCTGGGAACTGAAGGGAAGGGATGACGACTCGGGTAGCCCGGGAGAGAAACAGAAGATACGGGAGAAACAGAAGATACGTCCGAGCCCTGAAGCCCAAGGCCGTAGGCTTCTGGACCACCAGTCAGTGAGGACCTGGTCAGGGTCTGACTGTGTTATCTAATGACTCAGTTCTTCCTTGTTTTCCTTTTCCCCACAGAGCTCAAAGATCTCAGTAGCCTGGCAAACTTTGTAGTACTTTTTTCCCTATATGTGTTTTTAGAAAAATTCTCCTTGGTAGCTAGTCTTCTTTTTGACTGTTCAAGTTGCAACCTTGATTGGAAGACTTAGTAACAATCATTCTAAGAGATCATTATTTTTCTATTTTTAAAAAATTGATTTTCCATGCCAAAATGTACTGTAAATACTATCATTTTCTACTTTCTGTTACTACATAAAAATCATGGGCAAAACTAATAGGAGTTCTCATTGTCCTGTATAATCTATTATAATTATTTAATAAGGTGAGTGACCATAGAGTCTACTTGTAATTACTTATCTTAATTTCAATTCTGAATTTTTATTTTTAGCGATAACATAAATTCTCAGCAGAAGCAATCACTTTCACATTCTCCTTTCCGTGTAACAACTGCATTCAGTTGTTTCTGGGGGCTCATCTGTGAGACGTGCTGGGGTCTGTCCAGAGGCAGCTGCTCTCTAAGTGCCCAACACCTCAGGTAATTAACGTGGGGCTGTCCGCTTTCTCTAACGATGGCTGTCTTTCCCCGTGGTGCAAAGCTGTCTGCGGCTGACAGCCCTTTGCATGGCAGTCGGTGACCTCATGCACGGTGAAAGACTTCTTCCCCAAAGCATAGCATTTACCGGTAGTTAGGGCAAAGGAGCAGTAAACTTGAAGCCTTAACGGAGACCTTGGATGCAGAATACACACAAGGAAAGAAGCTGATATTCAGGTGCTGGGCGCCAATGTCATCTTGACTAAGGGAGACGTCCAGTGGACAATTTAAATCACAAAACACTCTCAGATACATCCTGGGCAGGCTCTGTATTCAGGATCCAATGAACTGAGTCCAGGCTTTTTTTCCTGCCCTTTTTTTCTAATAGGTTCCTATTTTGTAAGGAACTTGGCATTTCTCGTGTAGATTTCAATATTCCTTCTTTGTCCTATCCTTTTGATGTTTTAACTACATTTCCATGCGAAAGAGTCATTTTTCTTGTTCTGTGTTTTTGGATATGCATTTGTTCCCCTAGATATGGGGAAATTTCTGCACTAATGTCATTGGGTAAGTTTTTCTATGCCTTTAGTCTTTTAATTAGGATAGAGTGCTTAACGTTTTAGTCTTGCACCCTGAAAATCTACAGGTTTTACCTAAAAATGCACCCAATCCACCCAATCCACCCACTCCTCATCTCCAAGCAACCGCGTCTCCTTCTCTCGCACATTATCTTACTTCTTGCCTGTAATAGTTTCCCAACTCGTATCTTTGCTTTTATTCTTGAAACTCATTCTTCATACAATAGACAGAGAAATCCTTTTGAAAAATACATTCCTTCCAATGACTGTGTCTGCACTTAGAATTAGGTCAGAATTATGTCCTGTGATGACCTTGTGACCTGGCCCCTATGCCTTTCTTTCTGATCTCATATCACAGCGCTGCTTCTGTGCTACTGAGCTTTCTGGGCACCTGCAGTGTATCAGCAATAAGGGCCAGCCCTCGGATCCTGCCACAGCGAACTGACCTCGTTTTGGTTCTTTGAGCACCCCAAACTGTCTCAGAGAAACACACCTGCTATCCCTTATGCCTGCCGTGTTCACCGTCTGCTTTCTTTCCTTTTTGAGGCGGTCTTGCTTTGTAGACCAAGCTGGCCTCGAACCCGTATCTTTCACACTACCTTTGTCTTCCAAGTGTTAGGGTTGCAGGTATGTGCCACTATGCCCAGCTTGGACATTCTTGAGGCCTGGAACTGAGTCCTTCCTTCCTCTGTAGTACAATGCCCGACAAATATAGACGGGTTCAGCACACAGCTGCATAAAGCTCAATGTAGTGACATGGCGGGGCACGACGCAGTAGGACGTGCACTTAGCTAGTGCGAATTCCAAGACTCTGTCTCTGCTCTTTCCCACATAGCATAGGGAGCAGCGAGGCGTGCTGACAGCTCCTAGGAGCACAGAGTTAAAGGAGAAACTCTGCCTCTAGGAGAAAAAGTTTGATGGACAAACAATGTAGATAGAAAGGCATATAGGTCCTTAGAGAAACTGGCGAAATATGGAGACTTTGGGTATGGAGGATAAAACAGGGAAGACATAATAGTTATATTAAGAAGTAGAGATTTGGGGTGGGGGCTGGTAAGATGTCTGAGTAGTTAAGAGCACTCGCTGACTGCTCTTCCAGAGGACCCAGGTTCAATTCCCAGTACCCACATGGCAGTTCACAACTGCCTGTAACTCCAATTCCATAGGACCAGACAACCCATGACAAAACACCAACACACATAAATTTTTAAAAAATTAAAAATAAAAAATTTTAAAGATTTGAATTTAATTTTTTCAAAAAACTAAAAACTTAAAAGCTGCAGTAAACATTTTTAAAGTTGAGGTAGGAATTCAGAAGACAGATTTAGACTAGCCACAGGGTAACGCTTTAACAAGTGGCGTTTTTGGAACTCTTTCTAAGTGTGTTCTGACCCACAGTCCTGTGTAAGTCCTGGAGGCTGGCTTAGGTCACGTTACCTTCACATGCACCAGCTGGTTGTCAATGGCGATCAGGTGGTTCAGATTCTCCAGCAACTCTAAGTCTTTTATGTCATCGATATTATTGTTGCTGATATTCAAAATAGAGAGAGATTTCTGGGGAAAAAAAATGAACAAAATTAGCATTAGTGAGTCACCTAAATATACCACACAGGGAGCAGAAGGGTCAGGGCTTTAAAAGCCCCCAGAGCACTAGTCCAGGCTGCTTTGTAGGCAAGGAACAAAAGTCGTGAAGATTCTGTTCCAGTGTTTCCTGGTTTGTTTTTTTTTTTTTTAAATATAGAACTTTTAGAGCTCAAATGTGTGCTATAGCCGACTTTTGCCTCTGGTTCCCTCCATAAGCCCTATGCTCCTCCTCCAGAAGTCAATATACATTATGAAGTAGGGAAGCTGCAAATTAAAGAGAAAAACCACACCCAATAAACATGACAGAACGTTGTCTGCAGCTTACACCTGACTGTCCTGTGCTAAACATCATCCAGGGAAGAAGTCATGTGACCTGACATGACCGGTGTCTGGTTTTATTTTTATCTTTCCCTCTTCAGTTTTTTCTTGATAATTCATTTGTTCAGAAGGCACTGAAATAATGATTTCAGTGTTAGCTAATAAAATGAGAACAAAAATAACTATATGACAATACTAAATGAGCAATCTTAAAACCTGAGGTTTGTGAATCGATATCAAATCTACTCGCCAAGACCGCCATGCATAGTCAGCCTTTAGAAAGAAATTCCTGACATTTAGAAGTTATGACTGTTCCCATCATCGGTACAGCGCAGCACACCTCACTGTGACACTTCTGTACACAGCAGAACGGACTCTGGTTGTGTTCGCCCATGCGCTGGCCTTTTCGGACTCTGTCACTAAGAATTTTTAAGACTTGAGATAATTGAAAAAAATGAAGCTTTAATGTTGAGAATTTCAGAATCTGTGCAAAACTTAAACTAGCAAAAAATGTTTTCAGTGGTGTCCTGTGATAAAATTGAAACGGAAAATGACAATTTGCCTCCTGGAGGTGCCGGGCTCTGACAAGATCACTGTTAGTGTTGACAAAGTCTTACAGGTCCTGCTATAAGCATTCCTTCTGGTGGTCATTTCCCTGTAAACAAGCAGAAAACATCGGGGGATGGTGCACTTTGACTCCTAAATGGCAGCTCTTAGACTCTTTCTTGCCTGAAAACCTTTAGCAAAATGAGTGTCATATGCCAGCATCAACTGCTTTTCACACTCATGGACACCTTGAGAAAACCACACAATGATTATTGCTAATTGTTCCACTCCTAAAGGTGCGGGACTGTTTCAAACAGTTTACACCAGACATTTGCTGACACAAACCTCTGTGACCTGTAGATGACCCTGCAACCATTTCCATATAGGCTAGAGAGGAAGCAATCTCTCCTCCCGGCCCAGCAGAGGGACCACTGCCACTGATGATAAACAGGCAAAGCAGAGAAGGATACAAACCATCTCTCCATTTATAGGCAAAGTGTGCAAACACCTTCATTTGCATCAAGATGTGCTGTGATTGGTCTAAACATCCCTTCTGGGGTTCTGTAAACCGGCTCACTTACTGAGCCAGCTGGGAGGCAGGCTTCTGCGCTCCTCACCTGCCATAGACACACTAGGTTTCCTTGCCTTGCCTATTTGTGATATCATGAGCTGAAATGGCAACGCGAGGAAGTGGCAGGAACAGCAAAGCAGCACCTGCAATAGCTCAGCAATCGGCAGGTGGAGCTGCAAAAGTGGCTAGGCAGCTAGCTGCATGCTGACAATGCACAGGGGGCTAGGCAGCTAGCTGCATGCTGACAATGCATACGGGGCTAGGCAGCTAGCTGCATGGCAACAACTGCAGAGGGGCTAGGCAGCTATCTGCATGCCGACAACTGCAGAGGGGCTAGGCAGCTATCTGCATGCCGACAACTGCAGAGGCAGTGGGGAGGAGGTAGCATGGTAACTGGGTCGCCTCTTTCCTTTCTAACATAAAAGATCACATCTCAGGTGTACAAGAAACAAGTTCCTTCCATTTCTGGGTCCCGTGAATCAAAACGGATAAAATCTGCACAACTCCGTCCCATTTATAAATCTCCTGACCCAGAAAAGAAGGCAGTGTGACCACGACCCAGAGGGCGTTGAGGACTAGCAATGAGTCTTGCATCTCATCTCACAGATGGTGACTGTCTGGCCAGCAACACAGTCGGGTCCTCAAACCTGGGTTTGTGCACACACCCACAGCCTCAAACTTTGGGAGGCTGATGCCAGCCTGATGTCGTATCTCAAAAATTCAAAAAACCAAAGTTTGCCAAATAATTGTCCCACTCCCTTTTCCTTATAGCTTTCCCTAAAATTTAAAAACATGAGCCATGGTCAGCAGCACCTACATTATGGGCCTGTATCAGGACTTAAGTTCACATAACCTGCTCGCTTCCTTCTTTCGGTCCTTCTAGTCAAAGAGGTAGGCACGCCGCCCTGACCTATAGTACCGCCATACTAGAGATTGCATAAGGAAACAAACCACCCTCAGGTTTCCAATGGGCAGATCAACAGGACGACTACGTCCACACTCCGAGCATGCCCTCCCTGACTTATTCCCCACTGCATCCTGCCCAAACTTTCTTATGGCCTTACTGCCAGAGAACGAAGAGTCCTAGGGTCAAACAGAAGCTTTTCTCCCAGGGGAAGCCTCTGGCTTTCAACATGCAGCTCTCTCAGTTCTTCCAATCCTTCTAAACCTTCTATGACTGCAATGTAATTGCCTCCCAGGTACCTGCAAAACACAGACAGGGCTTCAAAGAGGTTTTCTAGGAATGCTGCGGACATTAAGGCTGATCAAAATATAACAAGGAGGACAGGGGACATGGCCGCTGGGTAAACCACTCGCTTCACAAGCATGAAGGCCTGAGTTTGAATCCCCAGAACCCACATAATGTGGACTTGTTAGGAGCATCTGTTACCCCAGAGCCCCTGTGGTGAGATGGGAGATGGAGACAGAAAGAATCCCCTGACACTCATGGTTCAGGTAGCCCAGAACATAAGGAGATCCTGCCTCAAGCAGGGTGGGAGGTGAGGACCAACCCCAGAGGTTGTTCTCTGACCTCCATGTGCTCAGACCTGGATTCACACACAAAAATGCATGCACACACAGAGATAAAAATTATTCACACAGTGTTATCTTTCTATCAGACCTATGAAAGTTCCATCTAAATCACAAATTATATTGTTACACTTAATTTGGTCTAAAATATATTATGTTTTTACATTTTCAATAGCATTGATTAATTGGACAAACCAATGGTTTCATTAGTATATTTCATGCATATATATCATATACATCTTCAACTTTTAAGTGGGAGGGTTAAAATAGTCTGTACTGAACTGTCTCCCACCCTTACAACCCAGTCTATAGGTTTATAAACAGTTTCTGGACCTCACTCCCTTGATCTGCTGGATATCAAGACTGGAACTTAGTAGTCTGCATTTGGTGAGTGTTTCCCCATCACCCTATTCTCTCCCCATCCTGAAGACCACAGGCCACTTCTAGAAAAATGTGCTAGTTATCCAGTCTGGGGAACTTGGATCTGTCAGCCTTCATTGCCCAGTAATAATAATTTTAAAAAAGATTTTATGTATATGTGTGTATGTGCATATTGCTGTGTGTGTGTGCCCGGTGGAGTTGGAGTTATATACAATTGTGAGCAGCCAGCGTGGGTGCTGGGAACTGACCTCTGTGAGAGCAGTGTGTACAATTAAGCACGGAACGATCTCTCTAACCTCCCCAGTAATAATTATCAGCAATCTTTAAATCTGTACCAGTTTATGACCTTTACCTTTTGAAATCAAAGCCCCTTGGGGACTTGGAAGGGCACAGACTTTGCTTGAGCTCCATGGAAACCCTGTTGACCGACTGAACTTACGTGAGAATGCTTATTCCCAAAGGCTCATTAGATGATCTGCTCTCCCTACCAAAGGAAAGGTGTACCAAGCTGCTTGGATGTTTGAGCCAGGACTTCATTATGTAGCCCAGGCTAGTCTTCAATTTCTAGAAATCCTCGTGCCCCAGACTTCTGAGAGCTGGAATTACAAGCATGAACCACTATGCCTATCTTATCAGGTTTAATTAAAGCATCAATTATATTTCATTTGTAATAGAAATATTTGTATTTTAGTAAATAAAGCTTGCCTGAAGATCAAAGAGTAAAACAGCCCCACTGGTCAGCCTTACAACCTAGGCAGTGGCAACACAGACCTTTAATCCCAGTAGCCACACTAGTTGCCATTGAAACCAGGCAGTGCATTCCTTTAATCCCAGCCCTAGAGAGGAATATAAAACATGAGAAGACAGCTCTCACACACAGTCTTATTCTGAGATTCCTGGAGGCAGGATCACCATTTCAGTCTGAGGTAGAGGTAAGAGTCAGTGGCTGGCTATTTTGCTTTTCTGACTTTCGGGTTGAACTCCCATTTCTGTCTCTGGGTTTTTATTAATCATGTTACAAATTATTATATTTTATATGACTACATTACATATACTAGGATAAAATTAAAAGTGAGACCTATCCCATGAAACTTCTGAGAAACAGATTTAAGCCTGCATCCAGATTAGCTTTGCGACCTAACGCAACACTGGAAATACTTGCGCAAGAAGGGGAAAAGCAGTTAGGAGGATTCACAAATAAAAGCACTCACAGCTTCTCCAGTCTCTTCAGCGACCTGAGGTTCTCGATGCAGGAAATGCAATTGTTCTGCAGGTACAAGTGGGTCAGATTCGTGGAATAGTTCAGGTTGGTGATGGCACTAATGCGGTTATCATATAAATACAAAACACTCAGGTTTTTGCAGGGAGAGAGGTCGTCCTGAGAAGAAAACAAAACAGGTCCTAGTTCTTCCCCTCTGAATGCTTAGAAGTTGGGTTTTAAGAAATACTTTGACACTCCACAAATCTCCCTAAGACTCTTACAAAGTAACATTTCTCTGCACTTAGCACACTCCAGATAAGACTGTAATGATCACTAGGTGATTTGGGGCTTTAGAATTCTGCAACTTTCCCAGTAAAATCGTGTTTCTTAAGAATTTCTTAAACAGTTTTCCTTGGCAGCAATGAGAAACCTTCCTGAAAGTTGAAACAATGGACGAATTATTGTCCAAACAGCGTAGAGCTTAATCTTCCTGTTGGATTTGAAGTAAGCTGTCACAGCTTACAGTTCTAAAACTGAAAGTCATTCAATAGCCAAGATTAATGGATTAAAGCCAGGTATGGTGACACACGCCTTTGAATTCTGCTCTAAAGAGGCTGAAGTAGGTGGATCTCTATAAGTTCAAGACCACCTGGGTCTACCTGGTGAGTACCAAGCCAGCCAGGGCAAAAGAGAAAGACCCTGCCAAAATTAATGTGGAGGATAAAAAAAACAAACTATGATGACGCTATCAATCTGAATTCTGTAAAACAAACTTTCATTTCTTTGTACTATCTTGTAGATGTCAGGACAGGAGAACAGTGGTTCACTCTGACCCACTATTGTGATTATACAAGGAGCTGGAGCTGGGCCACGTGGTCTCCAAATACCTTTAATCCAGAACTGAAGAGACAAAGGCAGGTGGATTTCTGTGAGTTCAAGGACAGCCTGGTGTCCAAATGAGTTTCAGGACAGCCAAGACCACACAGAGAGACCGTGTCTCCAAAAGAGAACAAAATGGAGACTGGAGAGATGGCTCAGGCACTGGCGCTCCTCCAGAGGACCCACCTGGCAGCTCACAGCTGTCTGTAACTTCAGTTCCAGGGGACCCAACACCTTCACATAGACATCCATGCAGGCAAAGCACCAATACACATACAAATAAAAACCATTAAAAAAGAACAGAACAAGCCGAGCTGTGGTGGCTCGTGCCTTTACTCCCAGCACTGGGGAAGCAGAGACAAGTTGATCTGCAGAGTGAGTTCCAGGACAGCCAGGGCTGTACAGAGAAACCTCGTCTAAGAAACCTGGCCCAGAATGACATATATTGACATAATTAAATTATATGCAAAAACCTCACCTTTGAACGTTTATTGGGGAGGAGGGGTGACTGGGCATTGAACACAGGGCCTTGGACAAGCTGAGTGTATACTGTCACTGAGGTATACTGTCCCCAGTGTTGAAGATTTGTGTCCTTAATCCCCCCACCCCTCAAGACAGGTCTCACTGAATAGCTCAGGTTGGTCTTGAACTTAAAATCCTTCCGGCTCAACCTCTGAGTGCTGGGGTAGCATGCAAGTGCTTAGCTCATTTCTTAACATTTTCAAGTTTAAAAAGTATTCCAAGGCTCTGGAGTGGTCCGAAAGCAATTGCTTTCCAAATCCTGTTTGTTGTGCAAATACAAGTGAATTCCAGGGAAAAAGTAACGTATGTCTAACAGATATCTGCCAAACACAATGCTATATTTTACAGAAACTTAATATGCTGAGTACCCAAAGAAGGAAATTAAAAGAGAAACGTAATAAGCTTCCCAGTAAAAATATAGTTAACAAGTTCAATCAAAATAGAATTATTATATTGGATACGCCCTCAAACCAATAGAGTTTATTTTCCTAATTGTGTAAAATTGAAATAATTTAAAGTTCTTACAATTGAATCTATATTTCTGTCTGAAAAATTTATGTGTGTTATTTTCTTCAGGCATTGTACGAGGGTTTCTTCTTTTCGGGGTTTAAGATTGCTGTTTTTGGCAATTAAATCCAGAGTCAGTCGAACCATGGTTTCTGTGTAACCGAAACTCTCAGCAAGATCTCTGTTTTAGCACCATGTCCAGAAGCAGGTTTAGGTATTACTTCCAAGTTTCTAAAAATGAAAGGGAACAAGAGAGCACTGTGAGATAGCGCTGTCCCGGAGAGGTGAGCTACTCTAACTTTCTCACAGACAGCTGCCTGGTAAGCTAGGCTGCTGGCATTCATGCTTCTGGTCTTTTCTACCTTTTCAGACAACCTCCATTAAAACTCTTAAAACCAAGGCCAGGTGTGGTGGCACACGCCTTGGAAGGCAGTGGCAGGCAGTTTTCCATTGAGTTCGAGGCTAGCTTGGTCTACAGAGCAAGTTCCAGGACAGGCTCCAAAGCTACCCAGAGAAACCCTATCTTGAAAAACCAAATCAAACCAAACCAAAACAAAGAAAACCCCCCAAACCGACAAACCAACAGAACATTTCAAACACGAAAACGAGTTAAATGCACAACACTTATCTGCCTTTATTGTGTGTTTTCTGGAATAGGATCTAGCCGTGTAACCCAGGCTGGCTTGGAACTTGCTGCTGTCCACAAAGTGGCATCCTCCTCGTCCAATTTTTAGAGGGTCTCACGCCCAGGCTAGTCTCCAGTTTGGGATCTTTCTGCTTAGCCTCCAGTTCTGGGATTAAAGGCTTAAAGCACCGTACCTTCATTCCATTTGTAGATACTTTCCTCCCCAGGGGCAGTAATGAACGCTTGTGTGTACCTCCCTCTCCTCCTCCCGCTCCACTTTTTCCCCAGTGCTGGGAAAGAACCCTGGGGGTCACTGCACGCTAGGCAATCACTTTAACATCAAGCTACATCCGTGCCCTGAGGGGAACATCTTTTCAAACGTTTATTTATCCTCTCTGATTAAGAAAGGACCTCCAGGAAAACTGCCCAGTGCTCTTATTTCGGAGGTGGAGAAATTAAGCCCCAGAGAGCTAGTCCAGGCTTTCCAAAGTGCCAGCTGAGGCTCGAGCCAGTGTCTCACTCCTCGTAGGAACTGGCACAGCATCTCCAAATCAGAACCGATGCTGTGCATACCCCAAGTTACACACAGAATGATACAAAACACTTGCCATGGGCCAGGTCTAGATATTGTATGTCATGCCAGAAAAACGGCAAGAAAAAAGCAGCGTTTTCCACTGCAGATTGTTGAGTTCAAATATTAGCTTCACTGCTCGCTGGCAAAGCAATCTTCAAACATTTTGTATAATAAATTTAAGGCAAGGTGCAGTCACGAGGACCTACATTTGATCCCTTGCACCACAAAAATACGTTATAAAAAAAAAAGTCAAACCTGTGTGGTGCGTGTGTGAGTGCATGGCCTGCGGGCGGGCACGCGCGTGTGTACACGCACACATACATGACCAGGTGCCTGGGTGTCTCACCAGGGCTCCACCTCCCTTGAGGGTGCACAGGCAGTGAACAGTTGCTGGAGGGCGGGGCTCACGAGGTTCCACCTCTCCTTGAGGATCTACAGGCAGTTCCCGTGACCGGAGGAGGGAGAGACTTGTTTTTCATGGTGTAGCCCCTGCTAAGGTGCCCACACTCCTGTAAATAACCCCTCACTTACACCCCTGTAATCAACTGGAATGAAGCACATCGAGAACAGGCAAAAAAGGGCAAGAAAGCAGAAGAGGGACTAGCTGGGAAAAGAGAGGGGCAAAGCAGACGGGGGAGATAAGAGCAGGTAACAAGGTGGAGGGGAATATGATCAAACTATCTTATGTGCATTTATGAAAATATAATGAATCATTATTATGTAGAATACACGATACTAAAAAATTTTATGAAATAAGTGACTTTCACTGGTGATACTACCTGTATTCTAGCAGCTGAGGAGGCTGAAGCAGGAAGACTGCTTGAGTTCTTGTGTTTGAGACCAAACAGGTGAAGAAGTGAGGGCATGCTTTCAATAGAATATTACTTTATATAAGACCCGCAGGACCCATACATACGCTTAAAATATAAAACACTAAAAATAAATTTAAGTTTAAAATGATGATTCTTGAACATAGTATTTGTGAGGTGGATGCGGGAGAAATCGGGAGTTCAAGGCCAGCCACAGCTACATAGGAATTTTAGGCCAGTCTGGAATAGATGAGACCCTGCTTCAAAAAAACAAAACAAAACAAAACAATAACAACAAAAACAGAAAGAAAACAAATGCAGGTGTTTGTGTATGTATGTGTGTATGTGTATATATGTATATGTGCGATGTATGTGTGTATATGTATGTATATGTATATGTATATGTGCGACGTATGTGTATGTGTATGTATATGTATATGTGCGACGTATGTGTATGTGTATGTGTGTGTATGTGTGTTGTGTGTGTTGTAGCTCAGTGGTGTCTAACATTCACAAGGTCCTGGATTCATCCCAGTACTGAAATAAATCAACAAACCACAAACACTTCTACTTTTCTCCCCTCCGTTCTCTTCAAACTTGGACACTGCTGTTTATGCACTGGTTTTGTTTCAAATGTCCATGCGCCTAAAAAGCACAGGTTCCCCAGCACACACGCAGTTGTGCATGCCATCGGCGTCAGTGTTCCTTCTTCTCCTGCTTAACTGTTTGCTCTGGAGAGTCATCTGGTTTACCCCACCCAGCTCCAGAGTACTGTACTGCTGTAGTTTAACTGTTTGCTCTGGAGAGCCATCTGGTTTACCCCACCCAGCTCCAGAGTACTGTACTGCTGTAGTTTGTTTTTCCTGAGCACGACTCTGGGTCTTTCTGTATTTTGCTTTTGCAGTGCTGCTTTTACATTTCTCGTCTATTTTGTCTTTAGCACAAGGTTTAATCTAGGAGCAACTATGCCTGGACTGCACATTTTGATGTCACTGTATGCTCCCAAACTGGTCTTCAGTGGGGCTTTGACACAGGGGACTGGTGGCAGTGTCCCCATAGGTACAGCTGTAGCTCTGATAGAAACTGTTTTTGACTTGGATTTTAACCGGACACTCTTCTGCTAATTACTATTTCCATATCTCATTTTTCCTACTGGGTTGTGTACCCAAATCATGACACAGAGGCAGACTTCATATTAGTTATGAATGTTTGTCCTAGCTTAGGCTCATTTCTGGCTAGCTCTTTTTGATTTAAATTAACCTGTTTCTCTTTATCTACCTTTTGCTTTTTGCTTTTCCATTTTTCTGCATATCTTCCTTTCACTGCTTCTTGTGTCTGTCTTTCTGGATACTGCATTACTTCTTGCCCCGGGGATGTCCCTCTCTCTCTTCCTCATTCTCTTCTCCTCCTCCTCCTTCTTCCTCTCATTCTTCCCTTCTCTCCCAAGCCTAGGTTTCTCCTCCTATTTATTTTCTCAACCTGCCAATCCTGTGCATCTCTCCTCATGTCTAGCTATTGGCTGTTCAGCTTTTCGTTAGACCGACCAGGTGCTTTAGGCAGGCAAGGTGAAACAGATACAGCACATCTTTCCATAATCAAACACACAACCTTACATCGTTACACAAATGCAGCATAAACAATGTCACACACCTTTACACAGCTAACGTAGTATCCTGCAGCATAAGCAAGTGCAACACATGTTTACATAGTTAAAGGACTGCACAGCAGGGTTGTGATTTGATAGGCACGTTTCAGAATGCATGCACATTCCTATTGGATAATAACTCTTCTGTCACTGATGGAATTTGTTATATCTTTCCCCAGACCTTGGGTTATCTTTGCTTCCTTGTTTCACTTTTTTTTTTAAGTCTCCTAAAAATGCACAGCTTTTTAAAACAATTTAAATGTATTCTCTCATATATTACATTCTGACCCTAGTTTCCCCTCCTTCCTCTCCTCCTCCTTCCCCATCCATTCCTCCATTACTCTTCAGAATGGGGCAAGCCTCCTAGGGACATCAACCAGACATGGCCTATCAATTTCCAGTAAGATGGGCTGGAGAGATGGCTCAGAGGTTAAGAGCACTGGCTGCTATTCCAAAGGTCCTGAGTTCAATTCCCAGCAACCACATGGTGGCTCACAACCATCAAAAATGAGATCTTGTGCCCTCTTCCAGACTGCAGGCATACAGAATGATGTATACGTTTGAAAAAAATTTTTTTCCAGTAAGACTAGGCACCGCCTCTCTTGCTAAGGCTGGATGAGGTGACCCAGTGGTAGAGAAAGGATCCCAAAAGCAGGCGAAAGAGTCAGAGATAGGCTCTACTCCCACTGTTGGGAGTTCCACAAGACCAAGGAATACAACCATAACATATACCACAGAGAGCCTATGTCAGAACCATGCAGGCTTCCTTTCACAGCAGGGTTTCTCTGTAAAGCCCTGACTGTCCTGGAACTCTCTGTAGACCAGGCTGGCCTCGAACTCACAGAGACCCATCTGCCTCTGCCTCCTGAGTGCTGGGAATAAAGGCATGAGCCAGCACCAACTGGCATAGCATTTTTTTTTCTAAAAGCAGTCAAATGTATTATTTTCTTTTTGGCTTAAAAACCAAAAAGGTAGGGAAGCAATTCCTTCCCTATCCCAAATTTAAAACAGCAATCTAATATTTTCTTTTAAATTTATTCACATTTTGGTAGACAAATTTTGTTCTTTTATCCGGAATTGCTCAGCACATATGAGGTGAGAGAGACTTGAATGTATATTTTTCCTAGTGGGAATTAGCTACCTAATACACTGTGCAAAAGTATTTTCTCTTCCCTTCATTTATGCCTCTGTTGGCACGGCAACACTGTTTTCTAAGTTCAAACCAATAACATCTCTTCACTTTGACTATTCTTGGTCATTGACTCTCATATATAAATATTTGACATTCTCATGTTCCATAAAAAGACCCTTTCAGGATTGTATTAGGAACTGCACTGAATTTTTAATGAGCCGTGAGTCTTCATAAGCGAGGCTCAGGGTCCTGGCCTGCTGGCCTGAAAAAGGGCTAGCAGGTTGTGAAACGGTGAAGGGAACAGGGTTTGGGCTGAAGGAGTTGCCTAAAAGTGAGGATAAGGGTGTTGTTTCCTTTTAATAGATTGCCCTATCCCTGATAATAAAATGATTCTTTTCCTTCTTGAATGGGAAAGAGGCTTTTCATAAGGGAAGCAAGCAGGTAGGCTGGCAGGCAGCTGGGTGGACAGATGGAAAGGCAGGTGGGAGGGGCGAGGGGCGGGGCAGACAGGCAGGCGGGCGGGGCGGGGCGTGGTGGGGCGGGGCGGGGCAGACAGGCAGGAGGGCGGGGTGGGGCGGGCAGGCAGTCATTAATCTTGTACCTGCCCTGATTTTCAAGTCAGTGCGCCAGAGCAGTCTATTCCAGAATGGCACATTCTTAATTCTTTACCCACAGGAGAATTCTGTGTCTAAAAGTTGCTGCTTCTGAAAATTGAATAGATTTGAAAAGCGGCGGCAGAGCTGGTGGCACACACTCATAATCCCCGAATTTAGGAGGTAAAGAAGGAAATTCAAGGGCAGTTTTGGCTGAGTGAGTGTTAGGATAGCCTGGGCTACAGAAGACTGTTTGGAAAAGAAGACGCAAATATTTAAAATATTTTTAAATCAGGAGAAGGCCAATGAGTGTAATCAAAAAGCTCTAGGAAAACATTCCAGAGGCTCAAACATGGAAAGGGAGAGATTCATCAGCCCACAACATAAAATACAAATCATAGGCTGCATGCATGGTAGCAGATCATGAAAACTGTTTTGTCAAAAACATCACCATTCCTTTTATTAAGACAGCACCAACTCCAACTTTACTGGTACTTGTAGTTTCATTATTTTAGAGAAATAAGTTCCAGGGGCTTAAACTACATCAGCAGTTGAATTTGTATACATCTTAGAACATAATAATAAAAACAATTGTGGGGTGTCCTTGATTTTCTCTGAAAACACATCGTTTCCCATAATACCCCCACTGGCTAACTATTTATTATTTCAGCTCCATTGCTAGGACACATCCTCGCAGGAGCCAGAGGGAATTGCTTAGAGCTGCTTCAGGGCCCTCTGGGATCCCATCTTGATGGCTCCTCAGCTGGCTTTCATCCCCCAGGCTCCTGTAGGCTGGGTAAAACGGACAGTTTTGGAGTTGGTTTCTACCTACATTCCCTTTAAGGAATCGCTGTGCTCAGTGGCTTTCAGATGCTCTAAATAGCGGGCTTCAGCCCTCAAAAGTTTCCAAAGCCTGGATCATACTCCCTCACTTCCTCTCCACCCTGCCTGGGGCGTCTAGACCGCTTCCAGCCTTGCCTGCTGGTCCAAACTAGCCTTCCAGACTCTGTCTGGGGTTCTGGGTGTTTAGGGACAGGCCTCAGGAACCTGCATTTAATCAGTATTGAAGTCTGAGTTCAGAAACGCCCCTGGCTAGGGTTTCCCTGGACATCTCACCGCTCCCGGGTTCAGGGTCCAGTCCGGTCTGTAACTGGTTTGGTCAGTGTCCTTGTGCCAGTCTCCGGCAAGGCCAGCGGACGGTTGCCAGGAGACCAGTGCTCCGAAACGCCCCCCTTGCAGAGGAAGTCTCGCGACGTCCGGAAGCGTGCAGCGCCCGCCCGGTGGCCAGCACGGGTCTGGCTCTTTGTGACGCGGGACAGAAGAGCTGATATTGCGCACTAGTGATCCCAAGACAAGGCCAGTTAGTTTGAACGGAACAAGATTGCATCTCCACCATCTTTGATTATTTCAGTGCCCAGTAACCACACCTGCCCCAGAACAGACCCCAAAAGGAAGTGCCTGAAGCCGGTACTCCACCTTTCTAGGATAAAACCTAAACTTAGGGTTATTATCATTTATCATGTAATAGGGTCAAGGCCATTTATCACGACTCTCCTCACGGCTTGCCGCTTGCGGTCCTCAGGTCAGGATTCTCGGGTATGCTTTGTTTGTGAGTTCGAGCCCAGCCTGGTCTACGGAGCTAGCTCCAGAACAGCCAGGGATACACAAAGAAACCCTGTCTCAGGCCAGGTGGTGGTGGCGCTCGCCTTTAACTGCAGCACTCCGGAGCCAGAGGCAGGCGGATCTCTGGAAGTTCTTAAAAAAAAAAAAATCCCCTTGGATTGGCTTGTAGTGCATGCCTTTGATTCTAGCACTTGAGAGGCAGAGGCAAGTGTATCTCTGAATTCCAGGCTAGCTTGGTCTACATGGAGAGTTCCTCCTAGCTAGCCATGGTTATATAGAGACCTTGTCTCAAAAAAATAAAATAATTCATTTTCCAGCCCTTGGAACTAGCACATGTTTTCTTCCCTCTTACACTCTTATTCCCCCTTATCTCAGTTTAGATCAGCACGTCCTTTCAGAAAACCCCTCTCTTGTTAGTTTCTATTTCCTCCAACAACTAGTATGAAGTTCTTTAGTGTAACAAGAATCTGCCGGTGTTACGTATGTCTCAAAAAAAAAAAAAAAGGAAATAAACTAAGGACAAGCATTCTTTTACCTCACCACTGTCAATGGGTATGAACGTGTTGTGTATACTAGTGCCTACTTGATAGATAAATGTTTCTAAGATGAATAACATAAATGAAAGACAGTCGGGCAGTGGTGGCGCACACCTTTAATCCCAGCACTCAGGAGGTAGAGGCAGGCGGTCTCTGTGAGTTCGAAGCCAGCCTGGTCTACAGAGCGAGTTCCAGGACAGCTAAGGCTGTTACACCGAGAACCTTGTCTGGAAAAACCATGAAAAGGAAGACAACACAGGAACCACCATTCACAGTGGAAAGGATTCACTGGCGGTGGGCTGGGCTAAGAAGACTGGGTATAAAGAACAGTGCACACTGGGAGACGGCCAGTGCTAGCTGTGGACCTGGCTGGAGGGGCTGGAGGGAAGGAAGGTTGTTGGGGCCGTTATTTTTGTTTGTTTGTTTGTTTGTTTTTTTTTTTGAGCAGGAAGCTCAAAGCCCATAGGACAGTTCATCAGGTTTGCAGATAAGAAATCTCCTGTTCTAGAAAGAGTTGAAAGAAGCCTGTGTTAAGTGTAGAAGGCACACGTCTGACTTCAAGGCCAGTTCTCCTTCTATCATATCTTATGACTCTTAGCCCCAGAGCCGCCTAGGAAGAGGTGAATGGGGCAGAGGAGCCTTAACTCCACTCACCATAGGGCTGTGTGTTTATAAGTCCATTTGTTTAGGCAGTCTTGGCGCAGTTCAGTTGGAGATACGTGGAAATACATGGACTTGGGAGACACTTTCGACAATGTGTCCGCACTCACTTATTTTGTGGCTATGTATGTATGCACATGGAGGTCAGAGGGCAACTGGAGGGAGTTGGTTCTTTCTTCCTACCATGTTTGTTAGTGGGATCAAACTCAGGCTGAAAGGCTCGGTGGCAAGTGCCTCTACCCACTGGGGCATTTAATAGAGGTCATTTAGGGAAAGGCGTGGGGCAGAAGCTGAAGATAATCTCCATGTTGGGAGAAAGGTATAACCCTGGAGAAGGAGATGACAAGGGATGTGAGGGGACTGGTAATGTTTGGTTCTTACCCTAAGGGTGAGGTGAGATATGTCTTAATAAAATACCCCATATAAAACATAACCGAAACCAGTGGTGGTGAGGGTAGAGGAAAGGGAGACAGCAAAGAAGAGCTGGTGTCGATGTGTCAGCAGTAAACAGGAAGGGAGTAAAGATTCTGTCTCCAAAGCCTGATGTTCAGTCACACGGGAGGAAGTTCCTGTATGAGGGTTGGCACACAGGAAAAAGGCTAAGGAAGGACAAGAGGTAAAGGAATAACTAAAACACCAGGTCACACATCAGATACCCATCTTATATGGTTATGGATCCTTCCGTTGGGGACAACAGCCTTAACAAGGGATACGGGCTGGCTTGTTGCTCTGTATGTAGTATTGAGACCCCTGTTAGCCCCGAGAGAGACCTTGCTTAGCTATTCATTGAGTTTAGTAAGTCATCAAGACTCACTTGCTCAGCAAGTCTTGGTTTTCGAACATTTTCATAAATCCCCAAAAGGAATATGCTCTCATTTGTGGTAAAGCTATGTGCACTTTGACGTAGGTTTTATTTTTGAGATCGTTTCTCACTATGCAGCCCAGACTGTTCTCAAGCCTCACGGGCTCACAGGGTCCTCCTCTGAGTCCTGGGTAGTTGGAACTGTTCGGGCCACCACACCTGGCTACACACACCTGTAAATGTGCAATATGGTATGGAGATATAGACATGGACTTACTTAACAGTGGCCACTTTTTGGTGGCAAGATTATGACGAGGGTTTTCCTCTATTTTTAGTAGCCAGGCTTATGAAAAAATGATAAAATTATATTTTGAAATTTCATTTTGGGATCCTCTTTATGAGGTTGAAAATCACTTTGTGATTATGTATGCTTAAAATAATTGAATTACTAATTAATATGAGTGTGGGGGGTGTTTGAGTATGTATGTGTTTATATGGGTATGCATGCGTGTACAAACATGTGGGTATACAAGCATATGTGTGTGAGTGTGGACAGCAGAGATCAACACTAGGTGTCTTCTATCGTTTTAAATCCTTAAAAAACTATTTAACGTGTGTGTGTGTGCATGTATGCGTGTGTGTATGTGTGTGCATGCACATGTGTGTGTGTGTGTGTCTGTACCTTAAGAAGCCAGAAGGGGGCATCCGATTCCTTTGAGCAGGAGTTACAAGCAGTTGTAAACAGCTGTCTGTAGGAATTGGCACTCAGATCTCTAGAAGAGCAGGAAGTGTTCTAAATTGCTGAGCCATCTCTACAGCCCTCTACATCACCTTACTATTATTATTATGGTTATTATTACTATTATTTTTATTGAAACAGGGTTTCTATGTGTAGCCCTGGCTGTCCTGAAACTAGCTCTGTAGACCAGGCTGACCTCAAACTCATAGAGATCCACCTGCCTCTGCCTCTAGAGTTCTGGAATTGAAGTTGTACATCACCACTGCCTGACTACATCTTATTTCCACAGTTCCTCCTGGTGAATCTGGAGCTTGTCCACTGGTTTAGGCTGGGGAGTCGATAAACAAGAATCCGTTGTCCCTGAGGTTAGAGACATGCACTACAGCACCCAGCTTTTTCCATAGGTGCTGGGATCTGAACCCAGGGCCTCCTGTTTGTACAGCAGGCACTTTCCCAACCTGGTCACCTCTCCAAACCCACTAATTATTTTTTAATGCAATTAGTTAGCTTAAGAGAACATATTCTCTTGTTAAGATGTGAGCTTTAACTCCTGCCCGGGGGCGCAGTGTGAAACAATGTCTGTGTATTTTCCAGTGAGGCAGGAATTTGGCAGGCTATGAGAAATTCTTCTCTTCCGTATCACATGTGTGAGTCAAGCACAAAATACTGTAAGCTTTACACTTGACAGATGCTGGGGAACTTACATTTGCTAAAAGAAGTAAGTCTCAAGAATCACTTTGGAAGCACGGTGCTAAAATCGCACTTCTAAACGCCTCAGCTGGAGTTTCCAAGGCCCTCTCGCCAGAAGCAGGTTTTATCTCCTGCATGCTGTTCTCTTTGTCTATCAGCGTTTCCTGAGTTCATACCGCACAGAACTGTGGGGAACTGTGGGAAGCACCAAGCCGACGTTGGTGATTAAGTCTCCTTCACTGAGAAACGGAGAAATTAAAAGGCCCAGAAAGATACATTGTTAGCACATAACCCCGCATAGAAAGATGCATGTTTGTCAGGCTGCCACTTCCTTCTCGTTTGTTTTGTAAGATGCAGGGATATTAGTGATCTGACGATAGCCCAAATGTCACACTTCTTGGTATCCAAGCCCCTGAGTGATCCCCACAGTGGCGTGGGCGCCGGACCTAGTGACTTGACCTAGCCAACAGTAGAGAAAACGTGTGCACATCATTTCCATGATCAGGCCAGAAAAGACGGTGGCTAATGTTTTGCTGGCTGAATCCCCATAGCGTGTGTGAGTTTCCGTCTTTGATAAAGCTGGCTATAGTTTAGGGAAGCCACTTGACAAAGAAGTGGTGGGGACAATTCTGTATTCTGTCAATTACGTTTTTAAATAAATGCTGATTGGCCAGTAGCCAGACAGGAAGTAGAGGCAGGGAAATGAGAACAGGAGTATTCTGGGAAGAAGGAAGCTCTTACCGCAATCCTGCCCAGACCACCAAGAAGCAGGATGTGACTTTCCTTGCCGAAAAATGCACCGAGCCATGTGGCTAACATAAATAACAATAATGGGTTAATATAAGTTGTAAGAGCTAATATGAAGCACGAGCTAATGGGCCAATCAATTTATAATTAATGCAGACTCTTTGTGTGATTTTCTTTGGGACCTAAACGGCTGTGGGAACTGGGCAGGACAGAAACCCCAACAAAGCAGGTCCTCCTGCTACAAAGAAGGACCCGAAGAAAGACTCCAACTGGTATGGTAACTAGTGAAAACTTGAGACTTTTGGTCCAAGGAGAAAAAGTCAATAAAACCCCTGTTTGAGCTACAGAGCTAATCCTTTCCCAGATGAACCTCACCTCTGGCAAACTCTTGGTTATAATCTTGTGAGAGAGCCTGAAGTCAGGGACAAAGATTTCTAGTTTATGAAAT